GTTTGACTAACGAAATTAGAAGAAAAAAACTAACGGCAGGGGGGTATTTGATGTTTTCAATACTTCAGGGGGGTAAACGATATATTTATCATAGTACAGGGGTGCAAAATGAATTTTACCCTTATTTGTATTTTTCTACTAATTTTCTAATTATTATTTTTTTCTTATCTCAATAGATCTATTTTCGACTTTATTATTTCCCTGTTTTCGTTAATGATATTTTTGTAATTATTTTTTTTCTATTTTCGATGTCATATTTAAATCAATATTTTCTCACTTTCCGAATGTCACCCCTGCAGCATCGCACATGGAGAAATGCGGGGTGATTTTTATAGGAAAAAAATGGCAAAAATTGGAAAATCTTATAATTATTTCCTGGTTTATACTATGCTACACCAGATAAGTGTCTATTCGATGCTACACTGGGTGAAAAACACTAAGTAGATCTTTACCGTTCATATATATACACAAATACACACACACATACACACATTGGTGAGTTTAGATCAACAATAAAAATTCACTGTTATTTCCTCGTTGCCATCTCAATCACACAAGTCATAACTAATAAGTCATAATTAGTTGACCAAAGTTTCATTGTATAGAGAAAAAACCTGGCATTCCCACCACTTTTCAATATCTAGAAAGAACTAAATAATGAAGCCGATGTTAGGTGAACTTATTACCGTGACAAAATTGTAAATATCATACTTATATTATCATTTTTGATTTTTTTCACAATTACCCAACTATTTTGATTAAATTCACCGGGCAATATTTACTGTACGTATGTATATATAATATGTATATTTTACAAATACTCACATGTATATGAGTGTTATCGTATGTAAAACACTAAACTATGGTGTCGATGATATGATATTGGGTGCATGGTGCATTTTACGCGGTGCAATATTTTACTGAGACCCCAAAAATTATATAATAGCATACTATGGTTACGGACTTGACTGTCGAAAAATTTAGCATACACCCTCTCAAGTCCACAAACCACACAAGAGATGAAAATATGTGCGACGAGCTCAACGAATATTAGAAAGTTTCGGCATGAGCAATAACAAATCTATACTATATATGGTTCTAGGTGCACACACTTGGGGAATTTTTCATATTTTATAGGGGTCAATCAGGGTTTTTCTTTCTTCTTTTTTTTTTTTTTTTGTTTTTTTTAATTCTTTAACATTCGCGCAACATCTTTTCGACAAAATTCCAGAATTTCTCCGAAAATTTTATATTGTCAATTTTCATATTTCAGTATAAAAAATCTTAAGATTTCCCAAGTCTGCCTGAACATAAATTAATGAATGTCTACCAAACTATATAAAAACTAGGGTAAATTACGGCAACACCTTATGTAAGGTCAAATTACGAACAAAATCTTTCTTGTCTGGGTAACTAGAACCATCCCTAACTATGAATATTCTTACGCAGTCACCATTACGGTATCAAATTCAACAGAATCTTTTAGATTCTGTGAAATATTCTCTAGTTTGTACTAGTTTTGTGAAAATGCAGTTTCTGATGCACCACAGTCTGATATTTACAAGCCAAGAGATAAAATCTTATGATCATCTTGTTTCAAAATGTGGAGTTCGAATGTGATAAAGCGGGTACAAACAGGAGAATATTCCACATAATCTAAAAAAATCCACTAAATTTGACACCACAAGAGTGGCCGTGTACAAAGATTTATAGTTGAAGAATAATTGTAATTACCCAAACATGAGAGTTTTTTTTTCATAACTTGACTTTACCGTTCGCACGAATGGTATCCGTAATTTACCCTTACAAAATATAAGAAAATCATATCAATTTCAATTGCATTTTCAAGAATCATTGCAAGTTGAATCCGAAACACAAAAGGTAGTTGCAGTTGGTTAGAATTACTTAGCCGTTGGTTTATCAAACTTACTAACCTTTTTATTGTTGGCTTTTCTATGCTAAAAATCAGTCACATTTTTCACCATAATAAAATACACTAAGCTCATTTGCTAATTAGTATTAAATCTAAATCAAAACCACACTAAACATTTACATTAAAATTCCCAGAAAATATGATCAAGCTGATGAAAGTTGAACCATCGATCATTAATTTTGTACTTTTATTTCTTGTAATTGATGGATACCACTGCAAAATAGTGCCGTTCATCTTCGGGGATTCTT